ACACAAACCCGTGTAAGATCTTCAATCTCATTGGCATTGGTCTCATCTGATGCCTCCAACATTTCCTCCTCCTCCAGGGTGCGTTCGTCATCAAAGTCATGGACAAGCATTTCAGCTGATGGGTCAAAATCATGGTCATCGGAACCTACTGAACCTCCTATGAAAGAAAGCATGAAAGAGGCAATGGAAATTTAGAAGGAAAATATGGCAGAATTTAATCTTCATTTAAGGAAATTGCAACAAATTGTAAAGCTCTAAAGAATCACTCAGTATTTTTATTTGCATATCTTCACATATACTGTATGAGTGTGGGCGGCTGAAATGTTACTTTATGGTTTAATTTGTTAAATATTATATTCTAAATTATATAAATGTTGAACTACTTACGAACTGAATACCCACATAGGATTACTTGAAGTACTGTGCACTAAACTAAGGACTTTTTACTTCAATACTGCAGAGGACTGTAGTACGGACAGCACTAAATCAATCAGTGCCTAATTTTAGCCACTGCTCTGCTCTTTGCTACATCTGTAGCTGGGCACAGTAACACATCTCATCTGAGAAAACACCCGGTCAAAGGCAAAATACATCTAAAAGCTGAAGACTATATTGTGCTTAATTCACCAAAGGAGCTTCAGCTAACATTAGCAGATCTGTCTTTAACATATAAGAAGCTGAACACATGGAGGACGATGATGAAGCCTTTTTCACAGTGCTGGCTGACAGTTTAACTTCAACTTCATGGGGTTTTTTTTTAACTTTTTACACTGGCTGCACTGCAATTTCTTATCAGACAGATAGAACCTTTATTAATCCTCTACACAAAATTACACTGCCATAGAAGTTTCAACACAATCATAACACCACATATCCCAACCAGCAAAATATTAACTCCTAAATAAATCAGTTGATAATATATAAATAAAACTGCCAGCTAACATGTTCAAATATGCAAACATATCAATAAAATCATTATTACTATTATGCATTAAACATTCTTATAGTAACTGTTATAAAAGGGCTCAGACTTGCACATTGATGCAATCAGCCTTTTACTGAAGGTGCTATTGTTGATAATCTCCAGGGTGTGTGCGTGCAGAACTGAAACGACCACATTACATGAGATACCACATCAGAAATCTTATTTAGTCTAACATTGTTATTTAATATCGTAATATACAAACACTGTGACAGTGATGTCAAGATCACAGAAATTTTCAGATGATGAAGGCAGCTGGTGTGGTGAGTACAATGCTTTAAAAAATACTAATAATAACAAAATGTACCGATTAAGAAATACGGACTTATTTTTTAAATTAGTATTTTGTAATATTAATTTCTCATTTCAAAATAAGTACAGGAAAAAACAGTGTTGTCTTAAACATAGAGGGTATCTAAGCCTAAAAACTTGATACATTTATTTTCCGTTTCAAACTAATCATATTTTTTTTTTAAAACAAACAAACCACAGAACACGATTAATATCGATCAATATCAAAATCAAAATTAATCCGTGTCTGATAGACAAAAGAGTTCAAATCAGTGTCTTTCGACCAAACAACTACAGAAAGCCTCAAACTACATGTAAATTACCTGGGCTCGAATTCCCGAGGGAGGGCTGAAAAACAGAAAAAGAGCAACAAATTAATTTTTTTTTTTTAAATACTGTTAAAAAAACTGCATCAGATGCAATACGTCATTAGCTGGACAACAACAACATAAAAAAAGCTCACTGCTGATTAACTTGACATATTCTAGTTCCTTTGACAGAGGACAGGGTCGGGAGCTGGGGAAAAGCGCGCCCGACCCTGTCCTAAAGCTGACTGCAGTTCAACACAAACTGAAACAAAGAGTACTGTCACCGGTTCCTGTGGGAACATTTATTTAGCACCTTGCTGATTGAAATGTCACAGGTACAGCGTCGTGTATATCACCGGCAATCACCCAAACTTAGCGCCAACAGCCAAGTGCTTACTAGGTTAATTTTCTCAGCTCGCTAACTTACAAGAGAAGTTCCAAGCTAGTTAATTATCCTTTAGATATTTATGCTAACGCGTCCAAGTTAGGCTTGGTATCAACAGGCAACAAATAACGATTAAAAATAACCCATAAAATATCTCCAAGCATAAAAATCCGCCACACGGCTGAATAAAAAATATTATCATACACAGTTAAGTATTTTCGAAGAAAACCGCGGAGTAACATCGCTAACGCTGCAGCTACCTCCAAACGGGGCTAGCGTCGCTAATGTTAGCTAAACCCGAAGTTTAATAAACATGCCTGAGTCAAGAAATGCTCATTATTTAGCAGCGAAAACATCCCACAGTTAATTTCGTACACTTAAACTACAACACACAAACAGTGTGAATATTCGACTGAAGTAACTATCCCGTAGTATAAATTTATTTTTTCCGAATATTTATTTCACTTTCTTACCTCCGCCATGTTCGCAATCCTACAGGGTCAAGTCGGGGGTCAGCGGTAGTTCCCGGATGTGGAGCCCCGCCCACCTACGTCTCCATAGAAAAACTGAGTGACCGCAAGCAGTGATGTAGTAATGTACTCCTATAACAGCAAGCTTAACGCAAAAATAATTTGTTTTGTAACGGAAATTTTTCATTGTGTCTTATTTAATTCGGAAAATTTAAATTTATAAAGCCTTTTACTGTATCATATTCAGCTTTTATATTTAAAATTACTTTCAGCTTCTCACTTATTCATAAAGGCTTCCATACGCATCAAATACCACTATACCATGGTTCCAGCTTTTAAATGTAAATTAAAAATATTATTTTCAAATGTTTTCTGTAATGTCTCCACTGTCACATGTTTCTTCTTCTGATAGTGGTTTTATGTTCTTATCAGGGAGAATACAGACACAGAGGCTAAAGGTGATGGCGATGTATGTGACAAAGAAGGTGTGCAGCCAGTGTCCTGATTGAAGGTGTGGAGTTTCTAACTGGTTTGGACCTAGGCTGTCCACCAGAGCTCAGATACAGTTCTAAAGTTTTGCAGGCGATATTATCAAATTGTGGAAAAGCTTTTGGAATAAACTGAAAAAAATGTACCACCTTTATTCTTCAACACAGCATGAACTCTCTTAGGGAATGTAACTTATTGAAGTAGTCTTCAGGAATACTTCTCCAGGCTTCTTGAAGGACATTCAAAGCTGTTCTTTGGATGTTGGTTGCCTTTTGTTCTGTTCTCTGTCAAGTTGATCCCACACTGCTTCAGTAATGTTGAGGTCTGGGACCATGGGAGGCCAATCCATGACTGACTGACTGATAACTTTTGTACTGTGTTTTTTTTTCTATTTAGGTATGCTTTTACTGAATTGGTAGTGAGTTTGGAATCAACGTGAATCAAATGCTGTTCATATGCTGTTGCATGTTGGCTCAAAATCAGATGGCACTTTTTTTTGTTCATAATTACATCAATTTTGACACCAATGGTTGAATTTCAGCCCCAATTCATGACAGTGCCCCCACTCTGCTTTACAGATGGCTGTGACACTCACTGTTGCAACTGTCCCTGTCCCTTTCTCTGTATATACTGACATTGATTTGAACTGTAAAATTCAAATTTGAATTCATCACTCTATCAGACCTGTAGTCACTGATTTTCAGTCCAGTTATTGTGTGATCTGGCATACCTCAGCCTTTTCTCCTTGATTCCTTTCCTTAAGAATGGCTTCTTGGCAGCCACCCTTCCACTGAGACCATTTCTGATGAGGCTTCAGTGAACAGTAGGTGGATCAACTGTAGTGCCAGAAATATCTCTAGGCTCCTGTGTGAAGTCTTTGCTGGATTTTTTCCTATTTCTTAAGGACATGACTTTCAGATAGGAAGGATCAGGAGACACTTTTTCAGGCCGGATTCTTCTTTTGTCCTCCACTTGTCTGGTTACCACAAAAACTTAAGGACACACAACACACTATGCAGAGATATGCAAAGTTTGCATTTAATAGTTATTTAGTAAACACCTTGCTGCTGGAAAAATACAACTTTATGTCTGCCAAACTATGTTATCTTTTTTATTTTCTGTTGATTCAGCTAAGGAAATAGGGACAGTTTTTTGCAAGATGCTGCTAGTAACAAACTGCATAAAGACACAGTACATATGTACCACTGGAATTCAGTCTTGTTATATTAATTTGCTAAATCAGATAATTATTACAAGGTGAATGTGAAATCTGTTTAACTTTTTCTTTTGTGGGTTCTTCTCTGAAGACACAAGAGAAATTACTATGCAAACAAGAAACCCACTTAAATTTATAGAAAGAAATCCCCTGTATTTTAAAAAGAAATACCTGTGTCTGCTACAGTAATATTAAAATAACATTTGTGAATGTGTCACAGTTTACATGAGTGCTGTATGTGTAAACTCCCCATAAAACCCTGAGAAACATAGCAGATGTTATGAATAACCTTAAATGTCATAAAGAACAAACGAATTTTACACTTTTTCAACTGAACCAGACTATAAAACATCGATTTATAGCACCACCCCTCCACTGTTGACATATAAACACGGGCAAGCAATGACAACTCTAACCCAGAACATAGGTTCGATTTAACAAGTGTACCGGTAATAGCAACTGTCTTTCCGTGGAATCATTGATTTATGCCAGTGATAGTGGCCGTGCGTGCTTCTTCGTTGCTATGCAGAGAGCAATCACCTCTTTATCTCGTAGGGCGCATATCTCAAGAGACCCATTATGAAATACTTTGCTGAATCCACGGCAATAAAAACCCTGCAGTTCGTACATAAAAGAGCAATTCTTTCCCTTTAACATTTACTAAAATGCAGTCAATCACCGATCTTTGCAGTGACTTAGATTCCCACACATATCCCAAATTGGCAGATTTACATCCGCTGTTAAAAGCACACGATGATCACCAATGATAATGCATAGATAATGCATTTACTCAGGAAACACCTGAGGAAGGCTTATGCGATATAAGACCCGATCGGGACGTGTCCTGAGAAACATCAACATGAGATCCCTACCATTGGTCATCGTGCTGCTGTGCATGTTGTGTGCGGCGCAGGTTCAGACACAGGAGAGCGCCAACACACTGAAGCTGTGCGGTCGAGCTTTTCTAAGGGCAGTGGTGTTCAACTGCGGAGGATCCAGGTGGAGAAGATTTATGGGAGAAGAGGATACTTTCCCAGAAGGTCAGTATGGACTCACCTCTATTTTCCTTTTTAAATTCATCTAACCTAAATTAGAGACTTCTAGTAAACAAATATTTTTACCTCTTTGGCAGTCAACAGAGAGGCAAACCTCCTAAAGTGGATAGATGAGTCAGTAATGGAACGTCAATTGCGGGACCAAAACGCGGCCTTGATGAGAACGTGCTGCCAACAGGGTTGTCAAAAAAGCGACCTGTCCATGCTCTGCTAGAGCAGAGGAACATCTCAAGGAAGTTCTCAGTCTGTCACAGTTACTCCTAATTTGGCATAATCTCTGTTGTACAGAACACTGTAAGGATGATGTCATTTCTGAGTGCAAAAATGTAAAAAAATAATAAAATAAAATGTAAAAAAAAGCACACTGTGAGGTTTGGTTAAGATTTGTTTTAAATTTCTTTACAACTATTTAAAAAACAGAGCACAGAAAGAGAGAATTCACTCAAAGTAAATAGCGTAAACAGATGCCACGCCAAACAGAGAACTGTTCTTGAAGAAGTGCGAGGCGAAAGTGTCATTAGACGTGTCCCAGAGACAGCGGCTGCTGATCTGCATGCTTTGCCCGGTGAGCTGGCCGATGTGGACCAGGATGACAATTTTGTATCTGGGGATCATTAGTTCCTTCACGCGGGCTCTTATTACCTGGAAGAAGAGTCAGTCTGAATAATGGAGAAATTTAAACATGTTTAGAAAGAGTTGCATCTATTCTTCATTTACCTCGCACAATGTTTTGGTCATTTTTTGAGACCACTCTACTTCATATTTCTCCTCTTGGAGGTAACTGGTAAGGACGTCTTTAAGTATGTCTGTGGCAGCGTTGGCAGGGAAGCGTTTGTAAGGTCCTGTGGTGCGAAAAAAGCCAGAAAACATTTATTACTAACAAAAATCCCATTTTATATTTGTCTAGTAGTTTTGATGGTGGGGTAAAAACATGATGGATGCATGTGAACAGAAGAAAAAATCATATTTTTGTCCATCTCAATTTATATCCTACACAAAACAGTAGGCCACTCTTTACCACTGTGAGGCTGAATTTTTACGTTTCTGCTTAAAATGATCAAACAAAATATATTCAGTTTATTTGTCAGTTCTGTGATGCCTAGAACCTAAAACTCAACCCCAGTTTTGTAGGCAATTAAAAAGGCTAACTCACCCATCTGGTAGGTGTTCTCCATTGTTGGAGCAAGGCGAGCATTGTCATCATGGTGGCCCAGTTCATCAATGTATGACACAGTGCTTATAGAGCTGAAAGACATAATCATGCTGAAGAGAATACCAGGACAGATACCATGTAGACACACTGGGACTGACCAGCAGTTTCCCCAACCAAACATGCTGCACTGGGAATGCTGTTTTGAAAATCATTCTTAACCTACCAGGAAGCTAAAAAGCTAAAAGATGGACACTGGCCCATATTACCTTAATAGTCTACTCACTCCTTAGTCCTGCCAGGCACCTTGACTACCCTCTTCTCTTTCCTTTGCTGTTTTTCTTTATCGGACATCCCCACTTCTCATTATTTTTGGTTTCTGAATGACCTGAATGTCGCACGTAGACCCTAACAAAGTACAAAAAAATGCGCTCATAAATGTGTCATTTGCGTTCAGAGTCACTAGACCGAGTTTTAAAAGTAGAGTTTTTAATTACAAAATCGATTACAGATTATAAAATTAGAATACTGAGCCAAATTACCAAATTTACCAGCCTTGAACTAAGCCGAACCAGTCGTCTGATATGGCTTGGTGTTGTTATGGAAACGGTACGGCCTGTGGGAGGGGTTTCCGGTGAAAGGCTTGTTGAAGTCTCGCGAGGTGAACGACCGAGACAAGCTTGGAAACGAGAGGCTGAGTTCATTACATTTTACAGTAGATATAATTTTAAGGCTCACCTTACCTTACGTTAAAGGCAAAGTTGTGTACCCTTTTCATCTCCCATCTTCTTCCCTTTTTAACGTTGTGTTGTGGTAAACTATTTCCTGTAAAGCACTTTGGGCTCATGTCAGTAAAAAGTACCATTTCTGAATATTTCTTGCTTGATACCCCGCATTTTATTAAAGGAGGCCAATAATTATAATAACAGTTACAGAGGTGGCAACAATATACCTTTTTCACAAACGTTATACTGACATGAAAAAGATAAACACAGGAGCTACAAATAATATAATAATATCATATAACACAATAAAAAAATATAATATTCATGCTCTGGCCAGTTTATGCACAGATCCTTAATTTATGTGATTAGCAACACCTGTGTTTTACGGCAAATAGCTACTTTGGAAAAAGTCTATCCTTGAATGCATCCTTAAAAGAAACATATGTGGGGGGAAAACACTCTTCTAAGATAGGATAAGAGTGTATTAAATACATTTTTAAAAAGAATATGGAATAGATGAAAGAAATACTAAAAGATAATTACATCAAATTAAGATAACTATTAAATTAAAAGATAATGATTTGTAAATAACTGGATATGAGTAAATTAAGCTTTTTATCTATATCTATGTATATTCTTATAATACAGTTTATTTTTAACTAACTAGGCAGCTCATTCTCTTTTTCATCCTTCATCCTGCTTCATAAACTGTCATCATGTACAGGAATAAGACCATGACGGGGTAAAAAAATTCCCATAATCCCACTAAGGATTGTTTTTGTAGTTGCTTGGGAGTGTTTATTTATATAACATGATGACTGATGATGATGATTTTCGGCCTATTTGACCTCACTATTAAGTTATGACAGACAATAATTTACAGTATTGCTGAAGCGCCAGGATGTACATTTAATGTTACGGGTTATGTGCCTGTAGGTGTTATATTTTTACATCTTTGAACAAATGAGAAGGAGATAAATGACTCTTATTTCCTCTTCTTTATTACCAAGTAAAACAGGTATTACATTATAATGACTTTTTTTTTCATATATTTACTCTCAAAATCTTTGGATGGGAAATTTACATGAAATGTTTGCATATTCTGATCCTAATGCAGTGAAAGAATACATACAGCCAAAAAAGTTGTAGAAAAAATAAACTTACAGAAAACCTCTGGTTTTGGAATATTAGTGTACACTCAAAAATAAGGCAAAGAAAAATATAAGCATATTCAACAGAAGAAAAACAAAAGTCGTTCTTACTCAACCAAAAAAAAAGCCATGTTTCTTTTTCTAAGGAACTGAATTTCGCCCGAGTCCAAAGTGTGAGTCAACATATGGAAACGCTCTGTAAAAAGGTGAAACACACACATGTGACATGAAGCAACAATTTGTTTCATGAAGAAAATTGAAGGTGTGCTTTTGTGTGCAAGTCAAACACAGGAGGATGTCAAACACCTATATCGGATGCATGGGATGGGTACGTCATTGAACGCATGCCAGATTTGATTGACAATGAGTTTCTGAAGGTGCATCACCAGCAAAATAGAGAATGGAGGCGCAAGTGAAGGCAAAGGAGTCTCTTCTCAAAGCACACTGATACAACAACACACACATCATGACCTCACTGAAATGGATAAAGTGGTATTGCATTGATAAGACCGGCGATGGACAGGTGCAGATTTCATGCGCCACTGTTTGGAGTTATTCATCAACACCTTTTCTTTTTTTTTTCCTCTTTGTTTTTTTGTTACAAGAAACCCACGTTAGATGAAGAGAGTGTTGTGTGTCGTTACGCAGAACCAAATGCATTATGAGCGCTGACATCAATAAACCAAGAGACGATCACAGACACGTCCATATGCTCAGAGAAATATTTGAAACATAGCTTTTTATGTACACTTTTTACACTTAAGTCTTTTAAATATTGCTATTAGAAAATGATAAAACATTTATTCGACATGGTGGGAAAAGGGAGAAAATAAAGCAGGGAAATAAATAGTGCTGTCTTTTTGATAGACACTTCTTTTAATTGCTCTGTGATGTCCTCCATCAAAGATTATTGTCAGAGTTTATAAGCAGCATCAAAGGCAACTCCTACAATCCATAGCCCTGGTCCCTTTAGATTTCTCTGGAAACTTAAAGGTCCTTTTCCTCAGTGTATGGCACTCTTGCATCTCTAGACTTTCTAATATAATTTCTGGATAAATTACCCAAGCTGTCCCAGTGAAAGTAGCAGCTTCACACACAAGCGTCAGCACAGTATAATGCAATTCTACCCACAAAACACCACCACAAACTCCACCTGTGTCCTGTAATGTGAGACCTTTGATGTATCTCAACATTGCACTTGCCCTTTAGTGGTAATTCGATGTGTTTGTTGTGCACCAGGTCACACTGCTCTAACTCTCTGCCAACACGACTCGTTAATGGTAAAAATGCTTCCAGTAGTAGTGTTTAAAGGCTGTGTGTGTGAAAGTATGGCGTTATGTATGCGCTTCAGCCCTGAGCACAGTCTTTCCAGCACATCAAGTGTGGTTTGTAAAGAAACTCTTTTGCACTCAACAAACTGAGGCCTGATTTTTGACTTTGAAATGACCAAAACTGCAGTTCCTTTAACGTCCACTCGAGGCTGCCTCCAAAAATGAGTCAATCCCCATAAACTAGGAGGTGGGGAAAAAAATCGACACTGCATATTATTGCAGTATTTTATCAATACGTGAACACCAAATATCGATATTTTACGAAATGAATGAAAATACTCTGAATCCACCGCCTACTGGTGTTGGCCAGAAGGGCCGATGGCGCGATATGGCAGCC